CAAAAGAAGAGTCAAGGCAAGATTTCCAGGGAAAGCTGTGAGACGCCATTTGCACGTTGCGGTGACGCGCCCAAATTAGCAGATTTCTGGCGCTTCTCGGCTTGGGAGGAGCATTTGCGCTTCATCTAGTTCCTTTCCTCCTTTCCTTCCTTTCTTAGTTTCCTTTTGCTACATCAGCAAGGTACCCTTTGGAGTGACCTGTGAATTCTGGTAATCTGCGAAGTGGACCACCTCAGTTTCAAAAAACTGCAGTTCTGCACGACGTGGCCTGACAGGGGGAGGGGCAAAAAAGACATTCGGCCGAGTCACATATCAGTGTAAGTTTTCGCAGCCCAGACAGAAGGCGTGGATACGAGTACCAGGGCGGAAGATACCCAAGATGTTCCTCGATAAGCAGGAGCAGACTCTCGTCATCACCTTCATGTACACCGTAAACCTCAACATAAACCAATCTCCAATCGCAGCCTGACTGAAGAAGGCCTACGGAATTCACGTCACCTCCAAACAGCTGCGAAACTTCTAGTATGGAGTCACCCATGGATAGCTACCTGGAGACCAGTACTCTCGATCTGGATGACCTCCAACATCGAGCAGCTCCGACAACGTCGCCACGGTCTAGGACATCATCTTCACCGCAGTCGCCAAGGCGCGGGTTGATGGTATGGACCGGACGTACCTGGAATGGAAAGACCAATATTTTCTTCGTGGACCCCGGACTGAAGGTGAATCGGTGGGTGAGTTGAAGGGCGTTGAGAACCTGAATAAGACAGAATATCCAGATGTGTCACCTGACCTAAACCTCCTCGATTACCGGGTTCGGAAGGAGCTCAACAGGGTGGTCTACAGTGGCGGAGAAATCAACGACCTCGCTGAACTCAGGCACCGAATCACGGTCGCGTGGCAGAATCTCTCGATGGCGTTCGTCCAGAAGGCTGTGGCGGAGTATCGTGATAGTGTACAATGTGTTGTTGAATTTGGTGGAAAATGTTCCAATCAAAATCTAATAAAGTGTAACTGATCTCGCCTTGGAAGTCGAGGAAAAAAGTGCCTTTTTCGCCCACACCCTTGTAGTTTTGTTGAGCACCTTTGGTGTCCCCATGCAGCCGAACTGCTCTCAGATTTCCCAGTTCGGAAGCAGCGCTAGTTCTACCCAACTCCGCTCGAAGGAACATTTCGTGGGGGGTTTCAGTCCTTACCTCGCACCGTACCATGCACTGGATCCCGCCGGAGAGCAGCAATATAACCGGATTATGAGCAGGTGGCCAGAGGTCACGCTCCAAAGAAACAGTGCAGAAATCCGGCTCAAAGGCCGAGTTAGGACGGGCTGGGAAGCTATATGGCACTTGAATGGTTCACGGGAACCCGCTGTGGTCAAGCAAAGGAAAGCCTTCTTGTAAAAAAGGCTTTATCCCTTTTTGCGCTTTTTTCATTAAAACGAATCCCAGAACAAATGCTTAGGTAAGGATTCCGTGAACCTCGACAAGGATCCCAGTGCCGATTCAGTAAAGGTGTGGAAGCTATGCACGCCCTACCGTGGGGAAAGCTTTCGCCAATATGACATCCCCCCTGATACTTCCTCCTTTAGTACGACCCCCTTCGCCGTTAAGCCTACACCCTTTTTCCCAGTTTTCGGAGATTGTTCCACTTCCCCTCTCCCACATCCCTCCCTCAACCGCCCTTCCCTTTCAAGAAAAAGAGCATCCTTCGAGCTCAGGGATTATATATAATGCAAAAGAAACGAGAAAAACAGAGAAAGGTTGCACAACCAGGAACATTTTCGAACAAAGTTAAACAAACCCCTCTTCCTGCTGTAAAACCCCTCTCGATGAGACTCCCCAGCGTACGACATGCCCTGTGCAGGACCCCTGTTTTGTGATCAGCGGAGTCATTATGCCACTGACCAGCGCTCGAACAAATTAAAGAGCCCGTTTGGCCCACGCCTATCGATGGACGGCTCTGATACAGCAGTGCGATCGAATCGACCTGCGGGTGGCCGTGCCGACTCTGCGTCTCTGCCCGTTGACGTGGGACGAGTTGCCGCGTCTGGTCGTCTGCCGTCCACTTCAATCGTTTCAACTCGTCCGCACGGCTGCTGTCGCCTCGGCGCTATCTCGGCCATATTCACAACCGAACGCCAAGCTGAATGAATTCAAGGATGGCCCAGCCGACGTTGGCCTCGGTGTTGAACTACAAGCCTGTGAAGGCTATCTTCAAACCTTCACAACAACGTGGACGAGATGTCGCTGTCTATGTACTTCCAGAAGACCCTGATCTATGTATGGAATTCAGTTTCAAGCGCTTCAACACTTCAGGGACCATCGCCAGCTATGTTTGTATAGCCTGTCGAGCCCTAAAGGACCGTGCGCCAAGGCTTTATGGCGTTGTGCCAACTATAAGGATTCAAGATGGCTATTTTTTGAGCGATCCCGCATTGCCAGAACATCCACATTTCTGTGAACCTCGGAATTTTCCTCGGTCAATGATGAGACGAGAGATTATCGCAAAATTCAACGAAATTCGAGAAAATATGAATGAAACTGGGACGCCTGAGGAGGTGGAAGAGGACCTTCTTCAGGCCATCAACAAGCCCGAATATGGTGAGTTCTTTGAATTTCAGCTTTAGAAAGCTTGCTAAGGGGTCTAGTTTCAGCCCATTTTGGTGACGAAGAACGTCAGGAGATGGTAAAAGAGTTAATCATGGGACATATTGGTGGACGAGATACCCTGAGAAGTATGATTCGTACGAACAAAAAAGCAAAACGACGACGAACTCAGTTCGAGTTTCCCGAAGACGCCCCACCTCCACCACCGTTGAAGATCTTCAGGAACATCAAACACGAGGTTCTCGTCCCCGAACACGTCACTGTCCATCCCGTCTACCAAGCCGCCCAGTCGTCCCCACCGCCTGCACCATTCCTGCCGTCGCCGTCGTCGTCGGAACCACGGTACGTATTGATTTCTGCATTTTCACCACGTCTCCTTTTTTTCGTTAAAAATTGCCTCCCTTCGAGGGCGGGGCCTTCGAAATTGTATTTATTCTCAATATTTCGCGTGCACATCATCATTTTCAAGTTGAAAATGTCTAGTACGAATTAATAGATGACGGACGAGTTTCACTTTACTCTTCTCTGAACAACATTCAGCTAGAAAATCTCCATGCCTAGTCCACTATTCCAGGCTGCATTGTAAATTCTTGTAGTTTCTGAGTTATTTGGGTGCACTCTTTTACCATTCCGTCATATCAGGGGGGGGGCTACAGTAATGCGACTGGGGATCTTTAAATGCCGTGATACAATCGAAAACGAACCGTTTCAAGTCCTGCAGAAATGGTTCTGAAATCGTCCTGAAATTCCTGAAATGTTACTATATCATTTTCCCTCCTTCCGTGTTTTTTTTTGCGTTGGAACACCCATTTAATGTGGCATCTGCCAAGAAACAATTGTGACCAAAATAAGTTTGTTTTTAGAGCCTTGGAGTTTCGCGATGCTGATGGACTAGTACCTTGTCTTTGAGTTAGTAGCTTATCGGTTCAAAATTAGGTGAGTAAGATTTTCCTCTGAGTGAAAAAAATTTCTCGTTTCGTGGGGTTCTAATCGAAACGCTTTGCATATCGGCATGTTGCAGTATGTAGAGCGTACAAAAAGAATCCAGTAACTTTTCGTAGCCTGGCAGCAGCTTACAGGGCTTGAAAAATGGATCAATACCCTTTTTTAGAGTTTGCGATGTGGTTTCGTCTCGACGCCTCGTCCCACTGCACGACCAGGCAACTTGAAACCAGACTATGTTTTTCTTGAAGAAACCCAAAAGAATCAGGAAAGATGCAAGAATTTTTTCCTGATTTATCTCTAATTTTCCTGCATCTTTAAGAGCTCTATCCAAGGGATAATCGCCGAATTACATGGACTTTTATGGATGGCCTGTAGATCGAAGAGGTGTATAAGGTTGTTTACAAATATAGGTAGCGAAACTGGAACCTGCATTTCACAAGCTACTTATGAGCAGGTAAAGTTGGTAGTGGTGCAGTAGGGTGGAGGCTTGGTGGTGAGCTGTGAAGCATAAGCGAGGAATCCTATATGTCGAATCGAACGTCGAACCTTATCACTGAACCATCGCGGCTCGATTCGACGTATGCGATTCAAAATCGCTATTTCACGAGCCTCACCACCAGCCTCAGAACCCTGCTGCATTCTTTAGGACAAATGTTTACGCTGCTCATAAGTAGCTTGGTGAAATGCAAGTTCCAGTATTGCTATCTATATTTATAATCAACCTTATACACTCTCATCGATCTACTCAGGTCTCCATTAAAAGTTTGGTAAGTTGGCCTCCCCCTGGTGTTCTTAGAGTGTTTCTAGTCAATTCGTTTGTGCCAACATAAGCACTTTCTGCCGGAGAAACTCGTCGTTGAGACTACCAGGGGTCTTGTCTTCTCCGTGTTTTTTCTTTATTTCGTGTAGAGTTACTTAGCGCGATTATAGTTGTAACTGGAAATCGTATCGCAATGAATCGCGGAGTTGTGTCTCACAGGCCTAATTTGCCACAATGAAATGTAGATAAATGCTGAAGACTGCAGTTGTCAAAGAATTACTCGTTTTGCATATATTGTTTGTGAGCTGCTCTGGCCTATTGCTTATCTCTTAGTTATGCGAACTCTGCCCTTGCCCATGTGATGGCGATCGGCCGACGGTCCGTGGGTACATGGCCGTGATAGGGACGGGGATTTTAGGGACCTCAGAACTTCTGTTTTCCAGTTTGGTAACTGGTGCAGATTAAAATATAGTTGATAATGTCGCAACCAGTCGGGGCAGTGTCTGGAGGGGCGGAATGAGCCTATTCCCGGCTGCCTTGCTCCGCCAGTAGTGGTCAGAGGTGGGAGGGGGCGTGGCTGCGTACTTCATTTAACGTGGCGGCGGTGGGATATTGGCGTTTAGGGAGAACTGTAGTCAACTCTTTGTCGATTCAAAGGTGTCGTATCTATGTGTATCTATTAATCTGAGTGGAAATATCCCACATCCGTATCCACAGTATCCCATATCCACATCAGAAACGCATCCGTCGTGTTCGAATCAAGTACGAAGCCATACCCCTCCCATATTCGGGGTGCTGGGTGTAATCAGCTGCCTTATTTGCTATTTTCGAGAGGGGCCAGCAACCAGACCATCGTTTATCCTGATTCTTTCAGTTCTATCTGTGTTTTTGACCAATACGATAACAGAGATTCCTAGAAATCTAAAGAATCAAAGATTTGGCTAGACACACTTGCTATGGCTTCATCTGAGTCTTTATTAAAAATTAATGGTCTACTTTTCGTGCTAAGCTTATAATATTATCCCATATATCCAGTATTTCTCGCTGCGGATGCTGGGGCGTTCCCGAGGCCCGGGTGTTTTGCGGCGCCAGCACTTCTTCCAGCAGTTGTGTTCGCCTGTCACCTTCCACGATTGGTAGAAGACGAGCTGGCGCGGCGCCAAACCCGGCCCTCGCTCTCGAGGCGCTCCAGTATCTGCAGCAAACAACACTGCATTTCTGCGTCTACCATCTCAATACTGGAGGAATAGTTCCTACAGCTATAAGCAAATGATTTGTGTCACTTCAACAAATTTTTCAGCACGTATCGACAAGGACCGTCACCTAACGTCACTTCATACCCTGACCCGAGGCATGTTGCACCAAATGTCGTAAACTCCACTGAAGCTGCTAATCTTACGGAAGCATCAATTTGGTGAGTACTGCTGCCATTCTATCGACGTAGTTCATGAATTGTAAATGTTTCGTTGAGGTGAATTCCACATTTGCTTTTAGAGCTTTAAATCCTTGCTTCCAGTTTTTTTTCTATTCAAGTTACCGAAAGAATTACAGTGTAACCGTGGAAATGATCCGATCTTGGGCTTTCTTTGGGTTGTGACTTCCAGGTCCATGAAATCTCTCAACTATGTACTTCCCCACTCTTTTTGCCGCTTGGGTCGTTTTTCAGATAGGGCGCTGTTTTTTGGGGCAGGGGATAAGAGAGGGGATTTTCGGCGAAAATCTCCATTTTTATGGTAGAATGGAGGGAAAAATGAGCAGCACGAAGATTAGGGTAGACGGGGTATTGGAGGATGGGGAGTGGCGGGGTCGTAAACCAAAGGCGGAAATTTCGATGGGATCTTCTTCTGCGAAAATTTTCTTCTAACCGCAAGTTTGTGGATGTTATGCCAGTAAAGTGGAGCATTTTAAAGACAGCGCCCGCGATGGACTTTGGCAGGTCTCAGGGGTCAAACTTGATTAGCAGGGCAATAAGCACTAACTTCAAAAGAAAGTAGAGAAAGGATTGTGGAAATTTTAGAGCGTGAAATTTAAGAACCCTACGAAAATTTCAAGGCATGTGACGAGTATTCGCAGTACCTCTGAGTGGTTCTCCAATACCTGCCCACCACGTCGCCGGCTCGGAACATCCAGACTTAAGCGTTGTATCAGATTGCAAGCCAAGCACTGAATAACTGCTTAACCAGTCGGGCAGGGTAACAGGAAAGGAGCGTTAGTCAGCCTGTTGGACTCCCGCCCTTCGTCAATCGATGACAGTTTCGAGCGCAAGAGTGGTGATATCCGCTTATGGTTTCAGCGAACGGCTCGCGTTTTCGTTTTCAATTGGAGGGTTTTTTCACTTTGGTTTTTGATTCGCGGGAGCTGCTTGTAATGCAGGCAGGGTATCCAAAACGTTTAATTGACACGAGGTTAAGCCCGTCACCATGCCACTCTCTCCCCCTGCCTCCCCCCCCCTCCACCACACACGCAACTTCCCATCCCTCTCCTCCGCCGGAAAGAAGCTGGCAACTTGTGGGTGATCCCATTTCTCTCCCTTCTTCCCCGCACTCAAGGCGCACCGCACTGTCTCAAACAGTGCCTGGCCAACACCCAATACCCCACTTGTCAGGGACGCACAGGGATCATCACACTCTCGCTTCCCCCACTCCACCTAGTGACGAGGGTAAGGTATGATGCTGAATTTTCCGTTTGCTGTACATTTTTCATGTCTTATGTACTCCTAATTTCCGCTTGCCGCCTTCACCAGGCTGCCAGTCCCAAGGCTCCCGTGCCAGAAGCTTAAAGTTCTCAAATCCCAGCCAACCTGCACCTCCCCCCTCGCACCCGCGCTCAGCTAGCCGCCTACCCCCCCCACCCCCAGCCCCCCCCCCCCCCCCCCACCCCCCACCCCCCGGGTAGGAGTCCTTTACCGCTTTCTACCGAGGTCCGATTGAAATCAACGGGTTTTAGCGCGCGAATTGCGAGAAAACATTGGTTGACGGCACTTCGGAGAAGCAGCAACGGTGTAATTTTTTTTTTTCTGATATTTCGTAAGAATTGTTCATTTAGACTCTTTTTTGACCCCTCAATCCTTTTTCTGTAAAAAAATGTTGAGAGCTACTTTTTCTCAGGGGTGGTTAGAAGTCCCGAGAAGGTTGGATCATTTTTCCAAGCATGAAAGAGAATTCTCATCTTTTTCCTCACGAAACTGAGGTCAGTAGACGGAGCAAAAGTCGTGAGTTCTCTTACAGGGGCTGCTATTCCATTGAAGTCAAGTATTCCCAGAAAAGAGGAGAGAAGTAGTATTATAGTATTCAGTAGTATTTAGAAGTAGTATTGTAGTAGCGGTATTATTCTTGCAAGCCTTTCCTAATTGCTACTTCCATGCTACTCCCTTTCCTTATGCCCTATCTTCCAACCACCCAGTTAGACTAATGGTAATCGTTTATCGATTTTTAAATTCCTTAAAAACTTATAGTGGTTTGTCGTTTGCTTGATTTCATTTCAGAGTTTTGCCGGGGCAGTTCGGCTTGGTGGGGGCATTCTACTGGTTCCCATTGACTGCTTGATCCTTTCTATGGGGACGTGTAGATTTCTGTAGGGCTGTGAAATAGCAGAAGCTCCGTTAGTACTTGACAAAAATCTACAAGTCCCACCAAGGTGTACTTTCGCTGGAATTAGCAGAAGAAACTAGCGAAAGTGCAAAATGCTCCCCCCCCTCGCCTCTTCCTTAAGCACAACAGCGCTTTTTTCGATTGAGAACTTCGCAATACCAAAAATCGTCTTCTTTCAGCTACCACCGTAAATGAGTTGAATAAGGAGCTGACTGAAATTGTGAACGGTATGGCGAAAACAGACCACAGCTCGACCTCGATTAGGAGCGCCAGTGATCTTTTCCGAAGGTAATTCACTTCGCGCTGAAAGAATTTTTCAGTTTTTTCCCACCCTTATTTTTTTACGTTGCTCTCTCTGCCAGAAGACTTTTTTTAGGTTCATCACCCTTGCACCCGCAGAACTCCTCGATCAGCGAGACTTTTCCAAAGTTCTAGCCTTCTACCGACAACGGGGAAAGATTTTCATCGACAGGGTGGCGAAATCTAGAGGAATGATCGCAAAGCATGCGAGACCCTTCTTCAAGAATAATATGGTAGGTATCACGGATGGTAGAAAACTGTTTTCTATTACTTTCAGAACTGATTTCAGAATGTGTTGACACACTCATATAGCAAAGTTGTCCTGGAGACCCTGGTCACGGTGCATAAAGCGGGCACAGTCCTTCACGTTTGGGTTAGTTTTGTTTCGTGTGGGCTATGTAATTTGATCAGCTCATAGGGCTAACTTTATCGTGGTTTAGGTTACGGAATCTCAACCTGATGGATCTGGCCAGCAAATGCAAGATGCTCTAGAAAAGGAAGGCATAAGGACAACGTTGATATTGGATAGTGCTGTAGGGTTCGTATTTTTTCATTTACTGTCATATTCCTGCGTTACGCCCTCTTTCCCGCATCTCTTACCTTCTCAGGGTGGCGTGGGGAAAACCGGGCTTTTTCCAAAGGTTTCTTAGGCTTTGAAAAGCCTTTCTCCACCTTACAACAATTGAGAAGAGAGAAAAAATGACCCAGGCGGGACTCGAACCCATGACGCACCCTGTGAGGGTGAACACTTCCCTGAAGGCGTAATGAATAGCGCTCCCAAAGCATGAGCTGCAGATCTGAACACCGCCTGAAGTTGAGGTTTTTGCCCATAACAGCATTCTTCTTATTATGACATTTGGAGGCATGACAGCAGCGTTAAACAGCAGTTTTCATAATAAAAGTTCTCCACGCTCTACCGATTAGTTGTTGTAGGTATATAATGGAGCGAATTGACATGGTTGCGGTCGGTGCAGAAGGTGTCATGGAAACCGGTGGCATTATCAACAAGGCAAGTTCATTTCTATATGTTGTGATATGTTTGTCTTGGCGAGAGTAACTGGTAGTTTACTATAAGTCGCTCGAACCAATAACTTTTTTGTCGCCATTTACCCCTTACAACTCCACTATTCGTCATTTACGTATAAATCTAAACGAAAGTGATCCGGGACGGTATCTTTCTCCAAGAATGTGCCTTTCCGTGTATTCAGATTCTTTTGAACACGATTATTGCGTTGGTTTCTGCGAATAAGCCTAGCGAGTTCGTTGCTGCGTCGCCGACCGCTGGCGCTGGGTGGCGCCCGATGCCAGGCGTTTCCAGTGGCTAAAGCGAAATGCTGATTTTACCGGATGTGTCAAGGGCCTAAATACTAATACTCTTGAATTGATTTCGATCAGAAACATGCTGCAAATTCATAGAGTAACGAGATGTAAAGGGCAAATGGTGCAGTATTTTTTTTACAGTGGGTTTTCAAAACTTTAAAAATACATTTTGCAGATTGGAACTCTTAACATTGCAATCATAGCGAAAACAATGAATAAGGCATTCTTCGTGATGGCTGAGAGTATCAAATTTGTTAAGGAGTACCCTCTCAATCAAGCAGACATTCCCGAAGAATTTAAGGTAGTTTATGAATTGGCATTGTTCGGCTTGGTGGGGTCATTTTGCCAGCTCACATCGATCACTGCCGATGCCTCCTGTGGAGGCCTGTAAGTTCCTGTATAGGTGTTGCTGTATAGCTCTGCAATAGCAAGGGCTCCCTTCACACCTAACAAAGGCGCACAGATGTCATCATGGTGTGACGTGGAACCTCGCAGGAACTAGCAAAAGGAACTAACCAAGAGAGGATATTTGGTTGAAGTGGCCGTTCGAGATGAGATGTATACCATCTGATACGTTTTTGGAAGCTGATTACAAATCTGCATTCCATATCTGCTAAACGATTCTCTGAGCAGAGTTGTGCAGGTTTTTGACCTGGTCACCCCTATTTTCATCATGTATGTAAGGCACAAGAAAACCCCCAAA